ATTTCTGCAGCGTTGACGATTGAGGATCAGGAGTCGTTTAAGGGAAATGCTAATCCATACCTCGCGCAGCGAGTTCAACTCGCCTTTCCAAGCAAGATAAGCTGCTCCAGAGTCGGACCAGATTTGGTAGCCTATCATTTTGCCTTCGTCGTCGAAGTCAAGGTTGTAGACAAATTTCTCATTCCACGAGTTGCCTTTTGCCGGCCCCCTCAATCCATGTGAACTTGGCCGAGCCTACGCAAGATACTTTCTTCGCCTCTGTATCGACAATCCACTCGCCTGCATGCGGGTGTCTCAGATCGGAGCCATGGTAGTGGCGCGGAACCTATCTTACCGAAGTTCATGTCCTCGTAAGAGAGATGCGTTACCAGAAGTATGAAGTACGCTTCCAACGAGCCGGGGCCGCTCCTGCCCTTGAATGCTCGCCCTAAAAACGGGGCCAAGAAGGGCTCGCCATGCTCGTACGCAGTGTTCTCGTGCTTCGTCGAGAAATGCGAGAAGAGATCTGGCAAGGCAGCTTTTCGTGCGATATCGTTGCATAGAGCCTGCGCAGAGGCGAGGAGCTGGGATCGTGAGAGTGTCATGGCTGGAGGTAAGGAGGCAGAGTACGCGGCCATAGATTATGTATATAGTCTGCAATCTTCCTACGCTCAACCTGCGCTTGTCCCAGTCAAGGTCCCAGCCTCCCAGGCGGCATTTCTGATAAACGACAGCTGCCTTTTATGTCAATGGAGCTGTGAACCTGTGAAGCTAAGATCACGTGGAAAAACACGAGGCTGAACATCGTTGGCGCCCAACCGCAAGCGAGCGCACACCGGATCCCCGAAGATCCCTGCTCAATTGGCGGGGCGTAAGTCCATCATTTCATTTTGAAGGGCAACCTTTAAACCCTTGACCTTATATTACACACCTTGCTTCCATACGCTCACCTTCCCCTCTTCTGCCTGCACGCACGCTCTCGCCCACACTCTTTAGTCCTGTCCTGCTCCTCAAGTGATAGCGCGGTCACGTCGCTGCCTGCCCCCAAAGCCTCAAGACCCGACCTTGCTTGTCCCTGAACATCCTATTGTCCTGTTCTGAGCCCATGGACTACCTCGCGGTTCCAACTGACGAGAGGGCTACCACCCCTACTGCAAGCATAGACTCCGCAGAGACTATCTCGAGCATTCCCTCGACGAGGTACGTCCTACTAGCATCTCCCGCTCCCAACGTCTCTCACACCGCTTACGCTTGCCAGCGGCCTGGATGCCGCTCTCGCTGCGGCCAGTCAGCGCGCTCTAAGCTATGAGATGCAGATCAAAGACCTGGAGGTCCGTTCACCCGCACAGTCTCATTGTGGTCTAGTCTTCTCATGTGGAACCTCATCTCCGTAGGGAAAGCTCGCTGAAGACCTGAGTAACTCCAGAGCGATAGATAACCTCCTTCGCGAAGTCGTCCAAGGACTCCAGGTAGGGCTTTTTCTTCTTCCCGAGGCGCCCACTGACAAATGGAAATCTTTCGCTGCCAATAGCAAACCCAAAAACGCTCGTCCACGGCACTCACGTCCACCGTTCCATATATTGACCGCACGCTTCAGGAGGACCTCGAGACGCTGCACGACCTTGGCAACGCGCTGCCAGAGATTGGCATGCAAGTCAAACATATTCGGCAGGTCTATGACCACGGACGTGACAAGGTTCGTGCACGAAATCACATGCACCCGGAATTGCATTAACGAGAGCCTTCAGGCTCAAGAGCTTGTGGACAGCTTGGAGTGGCTGAACACTCCAATACCGCTCCGCCTACGCACCATCATTTTCACCTCGAATGCCCCGGTCAGTGCCCGGTGGAAGGTCCTTATTGTGAGTATTTTCTGTCGGAATCAGGGTCCTCCGCGGCGTTCTTCGGCTACTTGAGATTCAGCCGTCATGACAGCCCTCCTGCCTGATGACCCGCCTGATGCCGTAAAGGCCCACATCCGCATGCACTTTTGGCATGGTGCCAAGGAGCGGACTAGGTTATGAGCTACCTCTGCCGCGGTCGCCTCTGCCTGGACTAAAGTTCAGCTAGCGTGCGCAGTGCAGACTCTTGGCTGTGCAAAAGCGCTGCGGCTGCAGAACTTTGCAAACACAAAAGTATAAACATGCTACATCCCTTGTCCGCTTTCTCATATCCTCTGCTTCTCCGATCACCGATATTGTTCTAATACCTGGTTACGTTGTGCAGCGCTTCTTGTTCACTCTGGCATTCCTCATGTGCATGTGGATTGCATGGATAACGTTGCGCGGTGCCGTGCGGGCGCATCGCCAACGTCTCGTCTGGGGCGAGCGACTCATGAGTTAACTCCCCTACGGAATCACGGATTCCTATTCTCTCATCGTTTCCCCCGCATTTCCGACATTACTTTCCTTCTAGTTCATATCCCCGTGAGTTCTAATGCCCTGCTTTTTCCGCAAGCATATCTCGTTCATCTCTTACCCACGTGCGGTAATATCCCGCATCATTCTTTCTCTTTATTGCTCCTTCACAATCAGCATAGTCTCCATCTCGCAAGTCCCTCGGACATTCACGACATGGCTGTAACATTATTGTTGTAAATATATGCATAGATGGCTCCCTGACAACTTCTGTTACGACATAGGAAACGCGCGCGGGCGGAAGCTTCTGGTGGCTGATTCATGCTCTAGCCCCGCAACCGCATGGACAAGCAGCTTACGGATGCTACGACGAGAGCACTATTTGAAGTCCGGCCGTTTCTTGGCGGCTGGCGGCTCAGCGGCTCTGACAGAGTTGGTCGATAATCGATAATCCCCTCTCGGGCCCCTGTCTGCAATGGACATGGCCGCCACTTGGTGAACTCCTTACGCTGCGCCGTGAGCCAGGTTACGGTCCTGCCCAGCGAAGTTGCTGCGCAGCGTACCCGATGGCGTGGGAGCGCTGCTCGGCGGAGCTCTGATATTTGGCGCCAGTCGGGAACCGACGCTGGCCGCCATCAAAATTGATCGAGCAGGGCGGGACGGTCCGGCGTCCCTTGGTGGCTGTCGGAACTGTCAGACGCCAAGGCACGCTGTTTCACTCTCTCTTACTCATTATGTATTTGCATTATCCTTCGACCGTCAAGGAGGATGCAAAAAACCCTGCGTTTCAGTGCACGCATTTCGGCGGAGACATTTCACTCAGGTGGCCCAAAAACGCCCTGCCGTGTGCT